AAAGAGGTGTATGAAGGATAATAATGTCTATTTATTAGAAGATGTTAATGACGTATTGTATCCAGTATCTAAAAGATGACCTATATCGTTTTATCTACGTAAAGCCTTGTTTAGTTTGGGCAATTGTTTTACCTATAGTTAGAAAACTCTAAAGAACTGCTCCTTTATTTTCATTATCTTTAGACATCACTTTTTCGCATTAATTTCTCTAAACTATCTACAATGTTGCATCAGACCTAGAGGTGTGTTCAAATTCAATAGCCTTCGAAAAAAACGTAACTACTATGAGATGCGGGCGCGTCGGTCGGTAGCCGCAGTACAGGGAAAAAACAAAACAATGTATTGAAACCTGGTTCGTTGAAATTAACTCACACCTATTTATGTTTTGACTGGTCTATAGGATAAACAAACGTTTAAAACGGATATTGGTACACGTAGTATAATTACTAAAATTAATTATTATGAAATAATGTGGATTCTAAATGAAGAAATCATTGTTTGATGAACAAGTATACCTTGTGGAAAAAATTGCTAGGAATTTTGGTGAAAAAGTTTAATAAGATAAGGGATCAGGCCTACTACTTATTAAATGTTAAAAATCCATAATAATAATGTAGGTAGGTACGTGCATGTGTATTTTTTGCACTGAAGCTGATGTAATGAGCGACAACAGTACGTGATTAATCAGGTTTGCCGAGTTAGCAATTCCATATACGTTGCCATGCACTTTTCTCAGAACCATTAAATTGTTTACACAGAAAAAATGTACCGTCTGTAGTATAGCGAGTCTGTTTACTAGGACTGACCGAACCAAACCGGTCTACTTAAAATGATATTATTGACGTCGCCGCGCCAAGCCGGCACACATCTGGGCTGCGCTTACGCATCCACCATCGTGTCCTGCGGTTTTACCACTGAGTAACGCATCTTCTCACTAAATGATCGGTAAACTCAAGTATACTTTCACTTTATTATAATATGATTCAGGTTTTCTGAATATTAAGTCGCGTAAGTTGCGGTGTTCGTCATTCACGTTTGGTTGAAATGCTACATTGCAAATTGCATCGTTGCTAACGACTTATGCAATTTTAAAAAGCATGCCATTTGGAATCGAGTATCATTAACATTTATTAATAGTCTTGCAAAACGTAAAGCTGACTCAACAATGCCTTTCATAGGCTCAATTCCTTAAATTCACACCATCATTTTATTTACTGTTAATTTCAAATTTCTTTTTATAGCTATGTCTTTACAAGCTGACTCAACAATATCTTCCATAAGCTCATGTCCTTCAATTCACACTATCATTTTATTTACTGTTAATTTCAAATTTATATTTATAGCCATATCTTTAACACCTTTGGATTCTTACCATTAGGTTCTTCGTATTCATAAGTGTCAGCTATTACAATGTCATTTCACGTGGCCGTTGTTTGTTTACATGCAGAGTGCATCGTTCCGGCAGCTTATGAACTGGAAAGCAGGTTCTAAACGCGCCGTCGATAGAGCCGCTTAGAAAGTTACATTTCTCCAACCTACACAGTACACACTCGATAACATCTTATAGTAGGTACGCTATCGACGTGTCGTAGTTCAACTCAAGGTCGATCGTGTTTGTTTCTTCACAAACTTCGCGTTTTATTACATTTCCTTCGAGCAGCACGAAATTTCATGGGCAAGTCGCATAAAATTCGTAGCGTGGATTATTTTATGTTTAAGTCTTATCTTGTAATGGTTGTTTGTTATTATTATTACATCTAAACAGTATTAGCAAATTAGGTACTACCACAGGTTATGTACGCACAAGCGAATTGGAAATATGTAAATGAAGTTTTTTTATAAATCCACTCGACTCGTATGTTTACGTTGAAATATAATACATAGTGTATTTGGTCGAAAATTGAAAAAGGAAGTGAGAAAACTTATGAACGCATGCTATGAGCAGAACAAAACAAACATTGACAATGACACCACACTTGTTGTGGTCGATGACTCGTTAAAGGATATCTTGTGGTTTCTTTTGGTGATTGATTTTGGAGTTAAAGACAAAGCTTTTAGTGTCATTCCGGTTATTGCGCGTGCTCGGGTTCCAAAACAGGAAGAAGGAATTGATATACGAGTAGTCGAGTAGGTTCACCTTTGTTGAACGTGACAAAGTTTCTAGTGTACAATAGGTGTTACTCGATTCTTGGCTTTTGTAGGGGTCAATTTAGACGGGGTTCGAATACTTGTAACTTAACCTACACGTAGCTAGTAGCACTTTCCATAAAGGGAAAATACAGAAAGGTAACATTTATACCCATGGGAAAGTGAAAATTGCTGCAGTGAAAAGTGAGAAAACACTTTGTCATATTATAATACCTATCAAAATTATTTTGCTTACAACTTTTGTATCTAGGGACTACTAGGAAGGATAAGGATACAAGGGATATTTAAATGATTTAGCAGATAGATAACGTTACTTTTGACTGGAAAACATTACTTTACAGAAAATACATTGTGTATTAACTTCATTAAAATTCTGCACAAACAAACAAGACTATTGACAATATCAATGTACACGTATGTAACATAGCTTTAACTTGTTCCAATTTTGAACGCATGCCAAAAGCGAGCCAACGTCGACAAGGAAAAAATAACTTGTCAAAGGTTACATAACAGAGATTTTGTCTCCAATAACACAAGCCAAAGCCTCTAGTTCTAACTAAAGTGTTTTGTAATTATGATTACTGTTTACAATTGTTATAACACTCATTAAAAATATTGTAATATTGTTTCTATGTGACACCTTTCTTTTGATAATTTGATGTTTTTTTCTTCTGTGTTGCATAATTATCTTGAAAATATTTTCGAAACAAAATTCTGGACTCATTTCTATAAGTTCGACTTAAGACTTCGATTTAATTCTTAATCTCTTTAGTAAGCTAAGCACAGTTTGACACGAGCTAAAGTCACTGACCTTAAAATCCTAAGAAGTAAATTCAGGCATGTCAGACCGATAATTCTTTAGACTAATGACACGAAGAATGCTTCGGCCGACCAAATTGGAAATGGATCCACTAAGAAGTTTTAAAATATCGCTTTTGGTTTTACTCTTATTAACGCCCCAGTGATCCATAATTTCTATGGAAGTACAACTGATGATGAGCCAAACGTTTCTCTCACCTATAATATGAAGCGTGAATAAATTTGTGGTTTAGGTAAATTACGAACTTGCTAACCAGTTTCGAGTGAAAAACCACTTTCACGGCAGATTTCTAGGGTATCATTAACGATGATGTTACTTTTAATAAATTCGTTTTACGGTTCGTATTTCCAAATATTGGACCTATTAGAGCTAGTGATTAAAGGAATGGGTTTCTTTTACTTGTTTATTTACAACCGTGACATCAGCATAAGTATCAGTGTTGGGAATTAATTTGATGAACGGTGCATATTTTGAAAGTGTTGTGATAATGACTTTGAATATCGTCTGTCGAATTTCGGGTACTCTGAATGGAACGGGGAAAACATCTGACATGTGTGCTAGTGACCCCCTTGCGGAAGAGTGATTCCAATGTTTCGCAGTAAAGCGAGTGGTTGGGTGACTTTTCCGTTCGGTCGCATCTCAAGTTGGTCGGCCGCGACATTGACCCGGCATACATGATCGGGCAATGCACTGAGTGTCGCAGGCTCTTTGTTTATATCCTGCGAGGCTCTCGTTCGTTGTCCTCCACTAAGATCTAGCCAACAAACGCAGTATAATGAACACCAATCTGTGTAACAAGATGTTCTCCGTTGCTATATCCATCCGAATGTGAAAAAATGTTTATACAACGTAAATGTATGCCAATTTTCGGAGGTCGCGGAATGTGCCGATTTTTACTTTTTTCTAAATTATCTAGATCAAGATTAGCAAAGAAAAATGTCCTTCACTGTATATTTTTTGTTATGATCAAAATATTAAAATAGATCACATTTTTATAAAATTTGGTCTATTTCTTCAAGGTTTGTATTATAACATTGTTAAACATTTACACTGTCCAAATTATTAAATAGATCTCTGAATTTTTGGTCTCCGTCTGGGTCTAGCAAGAACGTAAATATACCATTAAACGAGTGCTATGCTAGTTGGTATAAATAAAAGTGTCCACAGTGCAAGTCGACATCGCTTTCGTAAGTCGTTAATGACATTCCACTTGGGTTGAGCTCACGGGGTGCGTCAGAGCGCTCGTCACGGGCCTGCTCAGCCATCGCGGCTTTAGCTACATTCAAGATGCATTCTGCGTAGACACCAGAAGCTGAGCAGTTTCCTGAAATACGGGTTTCATGGTGACGTAAAGACGGACGCCCGCGCTTTCAGCGGCGCCTGCGCTGGACCCATTTTAGGACATGACTAACGGAAATTCGACTCCTCTCTCTCTGGCTCGTTCTCTCCCGTGGGACGATGCGTGCGCGCGTCCCGCTCGCACGTAAAGCTCCAAGAAATCTTTTAATAGTGTCCACGGCCGCGATCTACTTTCAACTAACGGCGGGAAATGTGCACGATAAACTTTGAATTTTTGAATATACGCGCGGATATCCGTTTGCGATTCATTTATTATTTAATAAAAAAATATTGCAATGTTTTTTTTTATATGCATCATACCGCAGGTCTAGTGGCATTGGCTGTAGCAAATAGTTGGCGAAAAATTGAAGGTTTCAGAAATTTAAAACTAGTCTGCCATTGAGACTGTAGAGGCTGCGCACTAAGAATAGATTCATAAACTAATTTTATTTTAGCACTGCTAATTCGCCGACAAAATAGATCAGGCACCAACAACTCCTTCGACTGAACATGACATGGAATTTAGTGATAAAATTGAAAAATTGTAAATACACAAACATGAGTCACGACAAAGATAAGGTTTTCCTGTCCATACATTCGTTAGGAGCGAGCGGTATTGTTAAACCGTGTTGTTAGAGGGACGGTATTCGTTTACCTACCCCTCTAGTGTGTCAACTAGGTGAATGGAACTGACCTTTTTCTGTTGTTTCTCCCAAGCCGGGTCTAAGAGACCCTCGCGCTCCCACTCCTCCTCCTGCTCCATGTACCCGTCGTACTCATAATTATTTGACATCACCCCGTTGTCCATCATCATGGTCATCGCACTGACCGTCGATTTCGATGTTCGTTCGAGCCTATGACCGCGAACTCGCGTGTGATGGTTCGCACCGCGCACTGCAACAAGCAGCCGGCCGCACGCCCGCTGCGAGAAGACTGGCACACGAGCGCTCTCTGCGGCGGCGTGTGGAACTTTTTCTTTGAGTTCCGTTCCACTCGCGCAGCTGTCAAATTTTAGAACGGGTTATTCGGTTTGAGTGCGGATAACGGAGCGGCGTGTAAAGCGCCAAAATTAAGAAGCGACTACTAAAAGCGCGGTAAAACATTACTGTTCGTATATTTTTACTAGAAGGTTGTTTTGTGGGTTGATGAGTCAGTAAAAATAAATGTAATGTGTTTGACCGTCAGTCATAACAACTGTCAGGAAAGGCTAATCTCAGAAACTACTGTGTGGATTTTAATATTTTTATTGTTTTTTTTTTTTTTTACATCTTTGCTTTGATATTGAGGCATCTGCATCTGCATTCTGCATATCGTTGTATGTACTTACTTACCTATCATTATCTTTTTTCCGCTCGTTTTCAAATTCATAGACACCCTGTATAATATTTTAATGAGAACGAGGTCTAGTAGGTGACCAGTAAAATATTAATGGCAGAATTTTTTAAATTAGTAAAATGGGGAGTGCGACTAGGTTCGTGGAATAATAACGGGTCTAAAATACACAAAAAAATTTATTCACCACATAAAATTTCATTGGATAATAATCTTGCTCATGCAAAATAACAGTTATAATTTTATATTCTTTGAAGATTCCACATATTAACATACTTATAGCAACATACACGATCACAGGAAGGTTAAAATTTTGGAATAGAAAACTTATTTCACCATTCAAGAGATTGACAAGTTAATATATTGGTGTACAAAATAAATCTAATACATATGAGTATTAAATGCATAAGTGAACTTATAAGATACAAGGTTCCTCGCAATACAGCTTCATGTAACATCCACTGAATATTGTACTTATATAATAAGTATCCATAAATGTATTTTAACGGTTAACGGCATATAATCCACAAAGCTTTGAGCAAAATCACAATAAACTAAAGATTACAAACCGTTCCACATTAAGAAGATATATTTTTGTATATTCTCATAAGTATAAAAACTTTACTGACAATTCAACTTTTATTTTATGCATTTTTCCAGAATTTAGAAACGTTTAAAATTTTAGGCTACATATTTTATATATTAACACCTATTATTAAACAATTTTTTAAAGGACCCGTTTCGTATCCAAACAAAATGACAGGAGATGAATCGAAATTATAATTTTGACTTTTTATCAACTGTTGCTCTTAATTGGTAGTATTTATCGATCTATTATTAACAACATCCATAAAATGCATTTAATAAGATTATAATTACTGTTGTGTAACTTGTGAATTTTTTGTAATTGTTTTGTGCAGTTTAGTATGTGCAGAAATTTAAGAGATCTCTACTATATTGAAGTTTATCACCGGGTTCATATATCTATTAGGTAGGATAGAATCTCGATTGAAATGTTCATAAAACTAAAAGGGATAATTAAATAAAATGCCTTTAAAAATAAAGAAATAAAAAGACACCCTATGTGGTATCTAGAAAGATATCTAATTCCTCAAAATATTTTATAGTAAACCCTCCTTGAAAGAAGTAAAGAAAACTTACGCTTATAATATCTCTAAATTGGAAACGGGTCTTTGCGTTATTTAATTAGATATGCAGTTTTAAATAGATACAAATATTATTTTTGGTACAGAAGTTCTCATTAACATTATTAATAACATAAAAATACATGTCTTACCTAGCGAGAGATTGAGTCGAAGACAGAAGTCACAGTTACAATCATTAAACTAACAGCTATGCAGTCTGTATGTCATAATCATCATAAGTTCCGAACTTATACTAAGCACAGACTGCACGATTAAGTATAAAAGTATAATTTATACATTGCCTTGAACATTAAGGACGATTTTAGAAATCATTATCATACAAAGTTATTTTCGCTCATATTTTGATAGAATTAAGTACGGTCGCCAGGGATGAACACTTGAACTTAATTTATGAATCCCCGAAGGATTAGAACTTTTTAAAATTATCATAAGAGTTTAGATCGATTGAGGTGAATGGGCATTTTGTGGTAGATTGATATTTTGGCGACGCAGGGCCATTAATTAAAGTGAAATTTTGTGTAATGATTTTTAAGCACACGAGTAAAAATCATAAACATTGTGTACCACAAACACACTCTACTCTAGTTGGTAAAAGATGCAGTTGGAGAAAGAGTTCGACCATGAATAAAATATATAATCATTTTCATACATCCCTGTACTTACAAAACTTTTGTGTTTTTTAATGATTTGGTTACAATAATACAGGGTGGTCAATATAAGTATTAAAAGGTCAATAGTGAAAAACTACGCGTTCACTTATAAAAATACATAATTATAGTAACTAAGTTTGATATAATAGTATTGAAGAAGATAAATAATAGCGATCCAGCATGTTTTACTGAAAAACTAAGTTCACATTGTGCGATTGACAGCTGACAGGCCTTAGTGATATAATATACAATGTTATTATTATGAACATTAATTAAATACAGGGACAGATGCAAGAAATGTACACATTTATCGTGTAGGTAACACCTAAAATATTTCCACATTTATCAAGGCTTGCAGCACTTTAACTATGACGAACAGTATGAAGACATTCCAAGAACCAGATTCGCTATATTCATATTTTCACTATTCTACAAACAAATTATCTAAACAATATACAGTCTTGAGAGAGGTTGGCAAAATGAAGAATTATACCATGTTTTAAAAAAACATTTTTTCCCGGAATATCCATAATTTCCCCAAATTTATTTAGGTAAACTACAATAAGAATTGTTTATCCAATATACTTGCAAGTTTATTTTGGAACAGCGAACACAGTACCACAAAACAGTACCTTGTAAGATGAAAAAACAAATGAATAGGTAGGTATGAAATGTGCGTTTTTTGTGCGTGAAAATTACAGTGTTAAAGATAGGTAAGATTCAGAGGTCACTGTGTTAGTTTTTGCCAACCTATCTATGACATCCTGTATATTTTTAATTATTTTAAGTTTTGTATAGTTACTAGATCAACATTTATTACTGAAGATTTATATTCTATCATTTTTAGAATAATCCCACTAAATGAATTACGAATCAGTCGTTTTTATAAGAAGTTGTGGAATAGTCATAATGGGGCTGATCATCCTATTTTAATTACAACAGCGAAGTGATATGATGAAGTTCAGGGTGATTTTGAATCTTTATAACATTTATTCATTTCTTTTGGGAAGTACAACAAATAAGAAATCCTTATAGTGTTTAGTGAGTGAACATTTAATTACATACACGCACTACAGTGATTGGAAACTCTGAATTAAAAATACATTTATTCTGATTGTCAATTTAACAAAATAAATTTGAGATTACATTATCACTGATGGATCACAGAAGGGGGCATTTTTGTACCTGGTGTAAAACTAACTGTTGCCGAACTAAGTATGATTTCGCAACTCTTTGGTACCAAAAATAGAGACGATTATACTGAACACATCTAGCTAGATGTAAAAAATATAGGTATCAATGAACAACAACAAGGAATAGGTATCCGAGAAGTGTACAAATATTTCTCGCACCTCTACTTAGTACATCTATAACAATAATACTTTTAGAAGGCGTCAACATACCACAATTTAAGAAGGACCCAGTCCAAACACTCTTCATAATCTATCTAATACACTGATATTCCTCACAGCTCCTCGTTTAAATACCGTAGTCAAAACTTTCGAATTCTGAGAACCTCGAGTCTTGTTTCTGTAAGCGTTGCTGGCAGGCCTCCAGGTAGCTGTCCTGGATCCTGTACATTCCTGAGTTCGCTTGGTACATCAACGTCTCTAAGATGCGCTCGTTCTTGATCGCCTTCGACGGGAGGACAACTTTGATCAATTCCTGCGGTGAGATCCTATACAGTTTGAGGTCTCTGGCTAACCTCTCCATAATGCATTTAAATTCATTTTTGGCATCAGTCTTATTAGCGGATTTGGCTTTGATTTTGTTCCGGGCCCAGCTGAGCATGGCTTCAAACTTCCTTACCTCGGGAACTTCCAGGTTTCGGCACATGATCATCTGAACCATGGACTCCGAGAGGTTGAGGAACTCTGGCGTCTGGAATAGCGCGTACGCTCGCTGCTCGATGAAGGCCAGGATCATATTCACCAGTTCCGATGCTGACGTGTATCGCCAGTAGTAGTTTTCTAAAGATATGAGCATGGTGCACACCTGAAAATATAATGATGTCATCAATATAAATGAATCTAATAAGAAAACATGATCACAAAAAAAATGAAAATTTATCTGGCTAATATCTGGCTTAGTTTGGATGGCGCAGAGGATAATGTTCGTTCGTTCATTCGTTCGTTTCAGCCGAAAGACGTCCACTGCTGGACAACCGTGCGATGTGGAAGTTATTGGGGGAGGCCTATGTTCAGCAGTGAACGTCCTATGGCTGAAATGATGATGATGATGATGATTACACTAAGATCTCCCCAAGGTTTTCCACAACGACTATCAGTAGTTTATCATAAATCAATGAATACAAGAAAAAACTTCATGTTGGAACTTACAACTTCTATCCTAAGAAACTGCTTGGCGTGGTGGAAGCAGGCTTGCAGTAACTCGGGCAGGTCGTAGTGCTCCGCCGCGCAGATCAGGCCCGGGATGGAGGCACAGGTCAGCGGGCAGCTGCCCGTGTGCAGGTAGTCCAGGAGGATGCGGAACGTTTCTGGGTCGAACTCTATGATGGAGAACTGGAAAAACAGGATACAAACGTGAAATATCTACAAAATAGGTATCCAATTTTGTTGATCCTGATGATCGTACTGCTGCTGATCGTATTTTATTAAGTATCTTAAAAGCGTTTAGTTACAACTGTACAGGAAAATCTTTTAGAAAAAATATCTTTCAGAAAGCTTATGTGTTTTGCTGTTGGTGTACCTTTATCAATAAATAAATAAAATAATAATGAAAAACTAATAGGATTCCTTTAGCTACTGTACGCGTACCTAAAGTTCATGTTACGTTAAGTAAGTAAACAAAAA